TAATTTTTTATAAATTAATTATAAAAAATATAGATATATATGTTATCTAAAAAAATTATGTTTTATTATTAGGATGTCTCATTTGATAGAAATGAGATTCAAAAAAAAAAAAAAAAGAAAGAATTATTTTCTTCATCTTAGAATAATAGATTTTGTTAATTTTATTTTTGAGATAATTTTATTTTTACTTGTAATAATTTTTAAAAAATAAAAATAATAAAACTTAAATCAAAATAGAGTGAATAATTAAAGTAAAAAGATAGCAATACAAGTAATAAAGTTAAAGTAAAAAAATATTTATTTTTTTTAAATATAAAGAAATAATTATTATTTTAAAATAAAATTTAAATTAAAAAACACTTATCATTCTAAACAAATGAGTATTATTTTTTCTATTATCGTCAATTGATGTAGTACAATTAGCATTTAAACAGAATCCATATTTTTCTTCTTTTTTTTTACTATGTTAAATCTTGATTAATTTATAATCGATTTGCATCGAACTCCCATTAAATTTAAATTAATCAAAAATTAAGTCACATCTATCTCATAAAAAAAAAATTCTTCCACCGATTATTTTTTTATTTATAATATTTAAATTCAATATCTTACTTTTATTTAAAAAACATAAACTTCTTCCATTTGGATCAAGACGTGATTGGTGAATCCATGTCATTCTTACCAAAGAAAAATGGTCGACGCAATCCTCTCATTTTTCCAGGTTTTGAAATACTTTCTTCAATTTCATCATACAAAGAAAAATACTTAAATCTCTATTTTTTTATTTCTTTTTTAAATCAAGTTTCAAACCAAGGCAGGCCCGCAAAGAGTCCCAAGTGGCCCAATCATAAAACCCTCTGCACCTCAACAAGAACCTTGCCGAGGGTTTAAGCGTCTGAGAAAAAAGGGATGAGCAAAGCAGGAGCTCCCGATTTCTTCTACAGGGAGGCTCAACGCCTTGGCTATGTAGCTCGCTCTGCTTTCAAGGTACCAATACTATCGTTCCACTTTCTTTCTTTTCTTTCTTCTTCTTTAATGCTTTCTCTGTCAATTCTCGCATTTTTGTGCTCAAAGAATATGCTGCTCCAACAGTTGCTTCAGATACAGAATCAATACAAGCTGATAAAACCAGGCTCTTCTGTTCTTGATCTTGGTTGTGCTCCTGGTGCTTGGCTTCAGGTTTGCCCCCATGATTATTATAAGTTCTTTGTTGGGATTTTTATGTTGTTGATTCTAGGGGCATTCATGGATGTCTATTGGCTTCTTTTATTCGTTGCAGGTAGCTTGTCAGAGCTTGGGTCCGTTGAAGAATGGTGGGTCTGTGGTGGGGGTCGATCTTAAGGTCTAGCTGGATCTTTAACTGTTTAATTTGTACCATCATATGTTCTTGGCTTAGATATGTATGTAGGTTTCTTTTGTGCAGTGAACTCCAGTACTGCTTCTTACTTTAGTTTGATGGTAATGTATGCAAAATTTGGGATTTGCAGAACAGAAGGTGAAGGTTCCTTCTATTCATTGCGATGCCAGGGTTCAAACTGTATTCGCTGATGTCATGAAGCTCCCCAAACACCAAGTTAGGGCACTGTCTCCTCAGGTATCATTTCATTTTGAATGTG